AAAGTCCACTGATATTTGCCTTGTTACCTAATTAGAGGTGAACGGCAGTGCTCAGTGCGCTGTGAATCAAGAGCCCCCAGCACCACCAGCACCACCAGAACAGCAGTGTTTGCAGCATGAGAGGCCAGGGAACAGCCAGCAGAAGTGCCATTTTCTCCTTACAGAGTCCAAATAAAAAGAGCACACAAAAGAGGGATTTGTTCGTGCTGCTCAAAGCAGCATTAACTCTGCCTCTGTGTTCAGTGACCCCACCAGATGGGTCACAGTGCACAGATGCTGGCATACAGCCCTTGCCTGCAGAGCCACCAAGAGCCAAGCAAGAGACCAGAAAGGAGATCGCAGGCTGAATCTCTCTCCTCCCTTCAATCCCTCCCCGAGATCTCACATTTTAGATGTCCCAGTCCAGCCAAGCCCTCATTTTTGTGCCTCTCCAAGCCCTCTCCCCCTTTGAAAGGCTCGGTCTTCCCTTTCACATCCTTTTCTTTACCATGTTTGTGTATAGAAGATGATTGTACTATTGTTCATAAAGCAGTAGGAGATGAATGGCGTTACATAACTGCTAGTTACTGTTTTATCATTTTTTAGAATGATGGAAAAGTAAAATGGGAATGTAGACTCCCCTTGGGACCAGGCTAAACAAGTTAAACTTAAGTTACTGGTGACCCAAAAGAATATTCACTTCAGCATCCCCAAAATGGAAGAATGGAAGGGTAAGGCATTTCAGTACATACTGTCCCACACAAAATGACAAGCCATTAATAACTATGGCATATAGGCATGTGTGGAGTGAGAAATCGTCTGTGATGTAGCTCCTAGTCAAAAGAGTTTACAAAAAAAGTGTTGGTTTGGGTTTTTTTAACATTTGCAATGATTTGCTATTCATTAAGCTCAGATATGTTGTGGCTTTTTGATATTCCAAAAAGGTTTTATTCAGCTTGCTTTTCATTTCAGGTCAGCTAACATAAAATCAATAACAGTTTGGACAGATTTCCTTCTTGTAATAACCCTAGAATTGGCATACATAGCCTAAACTCTCTTCCTGTTTCACATTTACAGGAGCTTTCTCAGAGTGATTTGGTTACCCCTTTCTCTCATATTCTTTTGCAGCAGAAACTTGCATTGGCATGTTACGATGCTTCTGCACTGTTTATATCCCAAGCGCAGATACATGCTGCCTATTGAACTCAGTGAAGCTTCTTGACACCAAAATCAATTCCAGCAAAAGCAGGTTCACACTGCTGGAAAACACAATTACACTCTCATCCCGGCCAAAGTTGCAATTCTTCATGCAGGCAATCCTGGTACTCAGTTTGCAACTGATCATGTCAAGAGGACTGCGCTGATGAGTAGTGGCTGCAGGAATAGGCACTCTTTCTGCAGTAAGAATCTGGTATTCTGAATACGGTGTCCTGCAGCACCACTTGTTTTCAGGCTCACAAACTGTACCATGTACCTAAATATTTGCACCAAAGTCCAATGGGAACTGATGGCTCTAAGGTTTCAACAGGGTATGTAGTTCATCTTTAAGTAACAATCTCCAAGATCAGTGCATCTAAAATACCTGCTGAGCAATGCTTTACTTAAGCATGTACTTAAAACTGAGCCTATGCTAAGTGCTTTGCTGAACTGTGATTTAACCATGCGTCTGGTCGCATTACTCAGTGTCTGGCAGCAACCTCTCATTAGACAGCAAATCCTTTACTGCCTTATAAGCCAATAGAAATTATGCATCCTAGTAAAGAAGGTGTCAAAGCCCAGTTTGAACTGTGCTTGACAACTGTTTAGAAAGCTAAGCCAAACAAATATTTTCAGGCGTATTTTGAGAATAATTGCTTTTCTTTTTATTGGAAAGTTCTGTTGTTTTATCATGGAAAAACGCAGCATGTTCAAACTGAAGGTCGAGGAGTGATTTGACAAGCGTACATAGAGCCCTGTGCAGCAACCAGAGTATTTTGCTCTGATAGAGCTTGATCTTGATTGGGACAACTTCTACCCTCAATTATAGCAGGGTGCATACACTGACATCCAGAGCTGAACTGCCTCCAGTGGGAAGTTAAAGGCCCCCAGTACCTTGCAAGACCAAGTTTATGGTATCTCTGCAAACATGAAGCAGGGTTCAACAAGCTGTTGTGATAATCTAACAGTTCACTGCCACTGAAGGGTGAGGATTTCACTCCTCCCTGCTTCCTCACTTCCCCGCACCACTGACCTTCCCCTTCCCTTCCTTGTACTGGCTCTGGCACTCACTTGCTTTCCAACTCATTAATTTGACAGAAAAAGATCTACTTTGTTGTTGCCGCGTTGGATTTTCTGCCAGATGAGTGAGCTCAAGCAGCTCCTGAAGAGAAGGCAGCGCTTGCATGTGTACTTGCGCAGGGACAGAACCATTTCAGGGTAAGCAATAAAAGGGCAGACAATGGGAGGAAGAAAACTGAAAAGGAAGGAGGAAGACAAGGTCTTCTCTTTCCATCAGCAATGGGCTTTTAAGATCACCTCAACCCACTCCCCGTAGCTCCGATCAGCTTTCACCTACATCAGTTTTACACCAGTGTTACTCCACTAGTTGCAACAATTACTGTTATGTAAATTAATACCTAAAGGCCCTGGCCATAAGCAGGGTTCCACTGCTAAACAAGGGACTGGATATACATACTGCCCCTGCTCTAAGGAGCTGACAGTCTAATTCAGCACAATGCACAACCGGAAGAGCAAACTATGGAAGATAAAAGTCATCAGGAAGGTAGGGGTAGTAATGAGAGGAAGACACAACCAAAATTTGATCCTGAAAGACTCACTGCATCATTGTTTGGTACTTATTCAGGTGAGTCACATGGATTTGATCACTGAAAGTATATCAAACTATTGGCCTGAGCAAAAAGCTTCACTGAAGTCCATCAACAATCTACATCTCAGCATATGCAACAGGCAATTATATCACTTCTTTGTCTCATTTTAAATTCAATCATCTCACCAAAGGGCTAATTCGGCACTTCACCTTGATGCAAAAACTCTCACTAAAGCAAACAGGAGATCTGCCTGTGTCTGGAGTGCAGCTGGACTGGGCACTGTGTCTGCCAGTTTTGTTGCAGTTTCTCAGCACACTACATCATCATTCCCCATCTAAATAAACAAGCAGACCAACCAAGAAACCAACATCTAAAATTAATGTGAAAGATCCTGCTCTCTATTATCAGATTCAACCTCTTTTCCCCTCACCACTGGGTTTTGGGCTGAGCTCTGTGTGACAGTTCTTCATACCAAACATGAAAAATACTACTTGCTTGGCACTTACCATGCCTGCTTTGCATCATGCTTTTGGCCATTATCATTAAACGGCATGGTAAGGGATGGGTAAGCAGAATTTGTGTCTGGATGAGAGAATGTCAAAGCGCTGTTTTGCAAAGCTGACTTAAATTTATCACGGTACATATATCTGAAGTACTTGCATAAATTATAAACCTGATTTACTATTTACGTACTTGTATTAGAAAATTTGTTAGAAACAAACCTTGAGTGTTGACAATCAAGACTTCTCTTTCTGCTAGTCTTCCTGTGCCACTGTATGTGGTAAAGGCATGAAACATCCTTCAGCAATAAAACAGAAGTTTGAGGAAAAAACAGAGATGTCCTTTGCAAGATAAATGATAACACAGCTCTTTGATTTAAAGAAGCAACTTTGTGTCAGTCTTCACCAGTAAGCTGTACTGTGCTGTGTTATCACGATGAAGATAATGTGTTACTCGTCTTTCAACAACATCTTAACTGTAAAATCCACAGCACTGAAAAGGTTTTGTTTGGAAATAAAAGAAAACAAGGATGTGTTTTGATGAAAGGTGATGCTTTCCATCCGAGTCCAAGATATAAGCCACGCAATGGTTTAAGTAGCATAGCATGCCATGTTAGACTCTTTAAGTGCCGTCCATTTCCAGTCTATGATAATTAAAAACAGTGAACTGTGTACACGAATGGTATGGATACATAAAGGTGACTGATACACATGCCAAAGTAATCTGGAGCGTACAATGAAAATGGTTTTGCAGATATTGCACTCTACTTTCTTGTTGTATCTATCCACTCCCTCATGTTATTGATCTGTTGTGCACTTGGACTGAAACCAGTAACAGCAAACAACAATTTTTTTCTTTCGGTCTCAAAAATATAACAAAGGTATAAAACTGTAAAACTAAGGAGAAAAAAAAAAAGCTGCACATACATTTTTTTGAGTGGGGACAGTAAGCACAGGACTGAATTATTTAGAAATTCTGAAACAGTAAGGTAATTAATAAAATTATTTATAAAGAAGTATATCTACAATATTTAATAATTTAAGGCTCACAATAAACTAACATATCAATGACAATAAAAGTTTTCTGCTATAGGGTTAAAAGCACCAAATTCACTTCACATACTAGATAACCAGATCTGTACTGATCACAAGTGGAAAACTCTGAAAGTGCTGATCTGCTAATGTTCCTAGTGCTTTAACGATGTCATATTTCACAGGAATAAGAAATCCCCTTTCAACCATAAATACAGTTATACAGATATAAAATATATTGGAATAATTTCAGTTTGAAACTACAGTACAAAAAACCTCAACCTCCCTCCCTCCCCAATCCATTCATTCTCCACACACATCCCCCAACTCTTTACTACTAAACTTGGAGCAACTGAATTGGTTACAAATGACCCATTAAAAACCAACCAACATTTGCTAAAATAAGTTTCTACAAATTAGATTTTGCACTGTCATAATTTACCAGCTCCTGCATCATGGAGCGTAGCTTATTCTTAGTCTATTTTAAAAATAGGTGACCCTTTGTGTCATGGAAAAAGAACATAAAAACATGTATTCCTGGAGGACTGCTCAGGACAGTGATCAATTTATAAAATATAGCCTGATTTAAAAAACTAACTGGTACCAAAAGAATAATTATAGTAGTAAGTTTCTGACACCAGCAAATCCTTCTGCATCTCTGAACTCTAACTCTCTCATCTCCTTACAGGTCTGTTTCCCTATTGGTGTCCAGACAGAGAGCATAGAGCGATTTTCTGAGATCTACGTTACTTTTAGCTTTGATATTGCTTTTCTCTAAGGAGCCGGTACCACTGTTGAACCCCTCACTGTTTTCCAAGTGCACAACAGATTTGTTCAGAGAGTTTCTACTGGATCTTCTCTTTGCATCTCCCCCCGCTGTGCTGCCCTGAGCACTACTGTGTTCATCTTTGAGGACAGCTTGCTCTTCATGATCAGTCTCTCGGTGGTAGAAGTAGTTGAAGTTGGATACGATGACAGGGACAGGCAAGGCGATGGTGAGCACACCCGCGATGGCACACAAAGAACCCACAATCTTGCCCCCCACAGTGACAGGTCGCATGTCCCCATAGCCCACAGTGGTCATAGTTACCACCGCCCACCAGAAAGCATCAGGGATGCTGGAGAAATGAGACTCAGGGTCATCAGCCTCAGCAAAGTAGACAGCACTGGAGAAGAGGATCACCCCAATAAAGAGAAAGAAAATGAGGAGGCCAAGCTCCCTCATGCTGGCTTTCAAAGTCTGTCCCAAGATCTGCAGCCCCTTGGAGTGTCTGGAGAGCTTGAAGATCCTGAAGACCCTGACCAGGCGAATGACTCTGAGGATGGCCAGGGACATGGCTTGCTGCTGGCCCCCACCTCCATTGCTACTGCCGGCCCCGGGCTGCTGCTGCTCATGGGCCAGCTCGGTCCCCAGGGTGATGAAGTAGGGGATGATGGCCACGATGTCGATGATGTTCATGATGTTGCGGGAGAACTCGGGCTTGCTGGGGCAGGCGAAGAAGCGGACAAGGAGCTCAAAGGTGAACCAGATCACGCAGGTGGTCTCAATGATGAAGAAGGGGTCAGAGAGGCTACTGGGTGGCTGCATGGGTGGGGCATCCCCAGTCGTGCCATTCAAACCTCCACTTTGTGGGGGCAAGGGCACTGGCATTTCCCTCTCGTCCCTGAATTCTGGCAGGGTCTCCAGGCAGAAGGTGATGATGGAGATGAGAATGACCAGCACGGAAACGATGGCGATTGCCCGGGCTGAGCTGGAGCTCTCAGGGTACTCAAAGATGAGCCAGACCTGGCGCTGGAACTCGTTGCGGGGCAGGGGTTTCTCCTCCTCTTTGATGAAGCCCTCGTCCTCCCGGAAGCGCTCCATGGCCTCTTCGCCAAGCTGGTAGAAGCGGATCTCATCAGCGAAGACGTCGATGGAGACATTCACCGGCCGGCGGAGCTTGCCCCCGGACTGGTAGAAGTAGAGGATCCCATCGAAGCTGGGCCGGTTCCGGTCGAAGAAGTACTCGTTGCGGAGCGGGTCGAAGTAGCGCATG